CCAGCAGTACTCTCCCCTATTTAATTCAGGGCCTCTTCGCTGGAGAAACTACCAGCCATGCTGATTTTTGCAGTATTCTGGTGGATTGCATAAATGGGGACTGGAATGAAACACATGAGTTTTGGGGGGTAGGGGTAGGGGTGGGAGGGTTGGCTTTAGAACCCAGATTTCCACAAAAAGATGTAAGGAAAATGCTCCAGTCCCCTGCCCCTGAATTCCTTGAGTGCTTAACATAAGTATTAATTGTACAAGTGGGGTGGTTTGATCTGTAGTTTGTGGTTATAGCCAACAGACTGACATTCACAAGGGGTTGCTCCACCCTGCTCCAGTGTGACGAAGCGTGTTAAATGGATGTGGTGCTTGGTGTATCAGAGCATCGCCCTGAGGAAGGAAATCAGCAGGGCGTGTGAGAGCTATTTCCTCAGAAGCCTTTCCGGCTGGCTTCAAAGATTCCAAAAGGGCTCTACAGGGTCACTTGCAACTTCTCTGCGGAGTTTCCACTGCACCTCTGCCTGCTTGTTTTAGCAACACAGACCTGTTGCCAGAACTAGCCCAACTGTTATAATTGCTGTTCTTGGCTTGGCTTATACCTCCCAGGACCAATTTAGAATTGGGAAATCAGGTGAAATGCATCGAATTTTAATGAAGAAAATGTCACTTGCATGTATAACAGATGTTCTCAGCTTGTTTGTCACTGTCGCTGGCTAACTTGCCAAGTCAGATGTGGCTCTCCTGCATTTGCATAAAAATACATTTTGCCCACAGATTCCTTAGCATCTAATGACAGGTTTCAGAGTAACAGCCGTGTTAGTCTGTATTCGCAAAAAGAAAAGGCTCTAAGGTGCCACAAGTACTCCTTTTCTCTTAGCATCTAATGTTACTTGTGTCCTCTGTGCACAACGCTCAAGACGAGCCGCTCTTACCTGCCGTAGTGGGCCATGGGTGAAGTGGTCGCTTGAGGAGGCCAGCTCCCCAGCCCACCTCCCCAGCCCACCTTTAGCCCCGCCCATACTCCCCCCTGCTCTGCCCCAGGCCCTGCCCCCACTCTGCCCAGGCCCCGCCCTCTCCCCACTGTCTCGCTCCTCTCTTCGCTCCCCTTCCCTGATCACCCACTTCTAGCCAAATCCCTGAACCCAAATGAAGCAAATGACATTTGAAAAAACACTCTTCTTCAATTTCTTTTCCACTGCAGGCTAGAAGGTGAAGACTGGACATTCAGAAGGTATCTAATTAAAAGCACTAGATTCATTTAAAAACAATGTTTTTTTATATCTTTTGGAAAAAACAGCTCTTCAGATCCCTGCTTCCAAGCTTCCATCCTGGAGTGCATATTACTCTATAAACAGAAATTTGAAGATGCCAGACACTAGGTGGAATGTTGTAGATTCTTCATGAAAACATCCATCCTGGGTCAGACCAATGGTCCATGCAGCCAGGTGCTTCAAAGGGAATGAACAGAAGGGCAGTTATTGAGTGATCCATCATTCCCTGTCAGCCAGTCCCAGCTTCTGGCAATGGGAGAGTAGGGACACTCAGAGCATGGGGTTATATCCCTGGCCATCTTAGCTATCACATTTGTTTCCTTGCAATCCACTAATACTTTCTTATAAGAAGTAAGTAGAAAGATCAAAAGTGTCCTCCTGAGAAGTTCTCCAGTGGTTTAGTGCCTATATTATTTTTATATGTTAGTTGTCAAAATCTGACTTTGTAGATCTTAAAATAAGCTTTTTTTATATTCAGAAAAGTATAATCAAACACTTCGGCATCTGTCTTACGAGATATAAAGATTTAAAATGTTACTTACACCTTTTTTGTGACCGCAAGCTGCACTTCAACTATAATTGAAGATATCTGTGTTATTTACAATGTGTTATTTGGAATAGGCCTTTTTCTTAAATTAAAGGGATACTGAATAAAGACTCTAGCATCCTGATATTTTTGCCATACCTGTTAATAGAAACTGTCTCATTAACTATTTAAAAGTGATGTTGAGATCTAGCCCTGTGCTCTCATCTAATCACTAGCTGCTTACAGAACAGAAAGAAGTTCTCTTCTTTCCTCTTGCAGATAAGTATCTTTACTTGTGTGGAGGGATTTTCAAAACGTGTGTCAGAAGTTGACTCAGTTCTGTTTAGCCAGACTCCCGCGGGATCGCTGTCAGAGGAAGGAGATCGCCACTGTTCAGAGCTGAGATCAGCGCTAGAGCGTCAACTACAGCTGCAATCCTTCCCCCACCCTCACTTCCCGTTAGGGTGTGAACTGGCAAGGCAAGATGCCACAGAGCTACTTCTGCGGAAGAGCCTGGCATTCATAACACAGGCTTTGTCATACAGAGGCAGCTCTAGAGCAGGGGAGACAGCAATGAAGGAATATACATGCTCCCCACCCTGGTTCCCTCCGCACCCCCACCTATTCCCCAGTGGTTTGAGCTTTGGCCCTCTAAACACGGGGTTGTGAGTTCAATCCTTGAGGGGGCCATTTAGGGATATGGGGCAAAAATTGGGGATTGGTCCTGCTTTGAGCAGGGGGTTGGACTAATTGACCTCCTGAGGTCCCTTCCAACCCTGATATTCTATGATTCCCCTGGCCCTCACACAACATCCCTGTTCCCAGCAGGGCTCCCCACATAATGGGGAAGACCAGGGACCCATCCGTATATTTGTGGTAAACAACTAAATTTTAGTCCTATGCACTAGACTGCAGCTTGGAGGAGTTCAGTGAACTAAGATCAATTTCTCTCCTGCTTCCAGGTGTTTCTTTGCTATGCAGCAGCAAAAACAAATGTTAAGAAGGTTGGAACTCTCAAAACAGTCCCAAAACTTCTTCTAGATAGCAAAGAGCCTTGCAGTCTGCCCCAGTGGTCAATAAACTAAGGCCATTATGGTCCAAGTATCTCCCTCTTCTACGGTGGCTTTGGGAATATGTATTTTTATGTGAAAGGCCATAGATACAAATTTAAGGAGAGGGCTAGGCGGAGATTGTAAAAAAGGTTTTGAGTCATTTCCCTTGAGGTAAGGTGCTTAATTCTTTGGGGTATTGAAGTAATTACAAAATACCCCCACTTTCTGTCACAGATGAAACCTTCACGTGCAGGTTCCGCAGTCAAAGCTGGCAAAAGGAAGGGGATGAAGAAAGGTCGTGTGCTTAAAGCACAGGACTAAGAGTCAGCAGCTATGTGGGTTCTGTTTTCAGCTCTGTTTTTGTCTCTCCCACAGATTCTCTGTTCTGCCTCGGGTAAGTCACATAGGCCAGAATGCACAAAAGGAGTTAGGTGCCCAAGGCCCCATTGTACCTGCCTAAGTCCTGGTTTCAGCATCTCTGTGACGCCCAAAACGTTCTGCCTAACCCTCGGAAGGAGAAGCTGGCGGTGCCAGTGCCCCCCTTCTAACTTTCAGCTCCGTGGTCCACTCTGGTACGTACTCAAACAGTCACAGAGCCAGAGAGATGCTGCAGTTGGGTGGAGCAGTCAGCTGGGTGCTGGGAGACCCTGGCTCCAATCACTTTCCTTCTTTTTTCCCCACAGTGCAGCAGCTTCACTTGGATAGACCGAGGGAGCCCCCATCTGACTATCTCATATTCAGTGGTTACAGCACTCTGCTGAGAGACGTAGGAGACCTATGTTCAAATCCTTCCTCCCCCTGTGCCTGATGTGGGAATTGAACCTGGGTCTCCCCACATCCCAGGAGAGTGTGCTCACTATGGGGCTAAATGTTACCAGCTAGTGGGTACAGCTAATGCCACCTCCAGCCGTTTTATACAGAGTGGGGCAGGCACCTAACTCATTCTGGTAAGAAACATAAGTTGCCTGACTCCAGAGGAGCAGTTCCCAAAGCTAGCTGCCTATCTCCGGTGGGGGCTGAAGGGCCATTTCTCCTCAGCATCACCCATTGGCCAGCGTAGGTGGCTCCCTGCTTCTCGCACTGGCTTTGGTGGATCACAATCTAAGGTGCCTATCTCCCTCTATTCCTTTGATAGATCCTCAGGTGCCTAACTCAGGCTTTGTGAATCACAGCGATTTTCAAGGGGCCCGAAAGTTTCTAGGTGCTCAGCATCACAATGCCTAACTCCTTTTGTGCAGCCAGATCATACCCTTTCTGGGTCTCCAGTTCCTCATCTCTCAAATGGGGATAAAACCTTTGTCTCTCTCTCTCCGGAGCCTGTGAGGATAAATCCATTTCTGCAGGTGGAGTACGCATTATACTATTGCCTGTATCGATTCTGTAAGATGCAGTGAGGGAATAGCTGCAGGGTCAGCCTTGCGGGGGGGGGGGGAACACCTCCTTCCTGACGCACCTGCAAACACAAAGGGAAAGGGACGTGGATGGGTCATTACTCAAAGTAAAACTATTTCCCCATGAAGAAAAGGAGTACTTGTGGCACCTTAGAGACTAACCAATTTATTTGAGCATAAGCCTTCGTGAGCTACGGCTCACTTCATCGGATGCATACTGTGGAAACTGCAGAAGACATTATATACACAGAGACCATGAAACAATACCCCCTCTCACCCCACTCTCCTGCTGGTAATAGCTTATCTAAAGTGATCATCAAGTTGGGCCCTTTCCAGCACAAATCCAGGTTTGTGGGGGGCGGAGGGTGAGAAAAGCATCTGATGAAGTGAGCTGTAGCTCACGAAAGCTCATGCTCAAATAAATTGGTTAGTCTCTAAGGTGCCACAAGTACTCCTTTTCTTTCTCCTTACAGTGTGTATTGTAACACCCATTGTTTCATGTTCTCTATGTATATAAATCTCCCCACTATATTTTCCACTGAATGCATCCGATGAAGTGAGCTGTAGCTCACGAAAGCTTGTGCTCAAATAAATTTGTTAGTCTTTAAGGTGCCACAAGTCCTCCGGCTCTTTATGCTCATGGTCGTGAATGTACCCACACCGCCCCGCCCGGAGAGCGCGCGAGCGCCCAGCAGGGACACAGGCCCCGCCCCCAGCCGTCAGACCCCGCCCCCCTCCGCTGCTGGCCCCGCCCCCGGCTCTCCTGGTTGCGGACGCTGGGGCTGGTTGCTGAATCCGAGCCAGTTTTTGCGGCGAGGAGGGCGAGGGGCCGCGCGGCAGCTCCCCGCTGCCCCAGCCCGGCCCCTCGGGCGGGCCCCGCATCTCTGCGAGCCCCCAGGAGCGCTTCTGCCTGGGGGGCTAAACTCTGTCCCGTTGGTGGGAGTGTTAAGGCCCAGGGGCTGCGGCTGGGGGTGTCTCCCGTCGGTGGTTGGAGGCAGGCGGGGGGGGGGAGCCCCTTCGAGCAGCGGAGAAATACCATGCCGGGGGGGGGAAGCTTCTGTCCCCTCCGACCTGTGAGGGCGACTGCGCGCAGAGAGGGCCGGGGGGTGACTTGCTGTGGGGAGAGCTCGTGGTGTCAGGGAGCAATTTCAATCCGCCCCGGGGATCCTTAGGCGCTGAGCCCAAAGTTACACTGACTCCGCGCATCCAGGCTGCTGCGCTGTGCTCTGGGGGTTCGGGCCGCTTGTCTCCCCTGCGCTCTGCAGCACCGCATTGCAACGCGCAGGCCAAGGCCGCCTCTCTGCTTGCAGAGAGACTGAACTGAATTTGACCCACAGCCTCTTGCTTCTCCTCGCGGCTGCTTTCCTGTGCTATTCTGGACGAAGGTAGGCAATGTGATCTTTTCTGCGTGCCCGCCAGAGGCCACTCTTTAACAGTCATTTTGTGCACGACCTACCCCACTATTCTGCGCCCAATCCTGTCGCCCTTACTCATACTGAGTAAGACTTCACTCCACAAGCACCACTATGTGCTAATTTTTCTACGCCTCTGAAGTGTAAGAAGTAAATCCGGTTAAATAGAGGGTTATAATCTCGAGCCCATTTCAGTTTGCTGTTCCTGTTAAAAATGGTTTGTCACTGTTACCTTTCCTGACTGATCATTCGCTGCTATCTGTGATATCAATGCTGATAACAAATGAGTTCATACTTTCTGTTGTGCCTGTTCCCGGAAACTGAGTTTGAGAACATTGTATCACTTTCTGAACCAGACACATGACACCTCGCAGAGAAGCTGACACTTTCAACCATCAATAACTGGGTCTGTTTGAGTCCATACACAAACAGGAAAATGTCCCTGCCTATATGTCAGTGGGTTGTGGTCTGCAAAGCATCTGTTACCATGGAAGAATGTTTTATTTCCGGCAGTGTGGTTTGTTGTAGTCCAGTCCGGAAAACAACAGTTTTGAATGTGGGGGCGGGGGAATCTCAGGAAAACTCATTTCCGGGTACCTTGCTTGAGGGATGGCTATTGTCTAAAGTGTTGTGAAACATGAAGGGGAGGCAGAGATTCAAACGCTCCCTAGGATTCACTTGTGCAAATCGTAACCTTGTACTCTAACTATGCAAAACTAGTTATGTACATAGCTCATTGCATGGAGTTGACTTAGAGCCACCCTTAGCACTGACGCAAACAAGAAAAGGTTGTGATGGGAACAGTGTGTAAGGTACTCTGACTTCTTAATCCCCCTGACCTGGAAGCCCTTAGGAAGAGCACCATAGTCAAAGGAACAAAACCGAGCTCTTCCTGGGAATGGGGAGATTAAAGGCAGGGCCAGTGTTAACTCTGCATCCGATGAAGTGAGCTGTAGCTCACGAAAGCTTATGCTCAAACAAATGTGTTAGTCTCTAAGGTGCCACAAGTCCTCCTTTTCTTTTTGCGGATCCAGACTAACACGGCTACTACTCTGAAACCTCTCACAAACTAAACGTTCTGTTTGGTAGAGGAGGTTTGTAATTGATGTCAGTCTGTGCCTACTTTTCCTTCTCACTGGGAGGTAATAACATGGACATTTTGTTTTGATTATTTTTAAAGTAATTCACATACTATGGGTGAGCCTGTGAATTGTACCAGCATATGCTGAGCAATGCAAATTTGGAGTGGGGGGAGGGCCTCCCCATCCCCACCACCTTAAAAATCTGAATGTCTTACATCAAGCAGGCGTTTTGCCACTGACATTAATGGGAGCAGGATTGAAATGATTAGTTACTAAGTACCACAACTCCCATTGCCATCTATGGAAAATGCAGCATCTGCCCCTTCATGGTCATTTATTTGTCACTATCTAATTAATGGCTCTATTATTCCTGGCTTTTCTTTTCCAAAGGCCCAGTCCTGCAGTCCATAGGTATTTTTGCTATTGACTTCAATGGACACAACATCAGACTTATTTCTCTAGTAAGCAAAACTGTGCCAAACTGAGGTGTATTTTTTACAGGTTGAGAAGGCGGCTACATGTTCTCCCATGGTTGTCAAGGGGAGTTACATTTTGCCCCTGAGAACCAAGCTGCAAATGTCCCATCATTTGTGTCTTTGATTAAATTCCCTCAGAGTTAAACTAGATGGCTACATAGTTACTTGCTGCTTGTTTTTCCATCGAAGAGGGAACTTGCTTTTACAGTGGTGAATCTTTCTCTAGTCCAAGGGCTGAATGTGGTACAAAGAAAGGTTGTTTAATGAGATTGATCACTTTTAATTGTGCCACCTTTGATCTATTAGGTTCTAGCTAGGGTTGTGCCAAAGTGTTCAAAATTATCTGGGCAGTTTGACTCTTAAAACAAATAAACAAATGTGCTGCCAAGCACCATTGTTTATCAACACTCATCCCTCTGGGTAATGTCTCAGGGGCACTGTTATGCACATTGAAGTATTTTTATTTTTAAAAAACTGATACTTTGTAGTTAGGTATTTCCAAACAGAGGAGGCTAATGGGAAGCCAAGTGGCTTGTGAAGAGGACAAGTGAGAAGCTGGACATGAAATAAGGCTCAATTCCAAGTAGAAATAAGGTGTAACTATTTAACTGAGGGTAAATAACCCGTGGAGCAATCTACTTATGGATGTGGCAGATTCTCCATCACCTAACATTTTTTAAATCAAAACTGGATGTCTTTCTAACGAGATGCTGTAGCTCAAATAGAAGTTACGCGCTTGATGCAAAAGTCTTGGATAAGGTTCTGTAGCCTGTGTTAGAGGTCCCACTCAATGGTCACAATGGTCCTTTTTGGCTTTAAAACCTAAACTCTTTCCCAGAAAGACACAAAGTCAAGGAGATGGATGGAAACTGATTCACTCAAAGCCTTTATTGAAGTTTTCCCTTGAGTTAAAGCACTGTTCCTTTTATTGAGGTGTTTAAATAAGTGGTAAGTTTGAAACCTGTATCTCCTAGGAGACTGACATACAGATTCCCCAAAGAGAAGGATGACACAAGCTAGACCCCTGGAGTGCTGTGGGGAGAAGGATGGCTTTGTGATTCAGGCAGTGGCTTGGGAGTCAGGAGATTAGTGTTTCTTTCCACTCTGCTGTCAGTTCTCCAACAGACTTGCCATGTGGACTTGAGTAAGTCTGAATCTTTCTGTGCCTCAGGTTCCTAGTATCTAACCTGGATATAAGACCAATGTACCTTCCTTCCGGGGAGGTGCAGGGATAAGTCTATTAATGTTTGTGTTAAGTATCAGAGGGGTAGCTGTGTTAGTCTGGATCTGTGAAAACGGCAGAGAGTCCTGTGGCACCTTATAGACTAACATACGTATTGGAGCATGAGCTTTTGTGGGTGAATACCCACTTCTTCAGATGCATGCATGGCATGTTTGTGTTGTGTTTCAATGGCACCGGCAATAAGCCCAACCCCATTGTGGATTATAAACTGCTTTCCTGGGAATAGAGTCAGTTTTACTGGGTAGTATTTGTTGCAAGGGAAAGCACACCTGAGACTCATGTATGAACATAGAAATCACCCTCTCGAGGTTGGGTTTGATCTGAACTGACACTGATCTGACAAAGGTCTGTTGAGGCACATTTCTGCCATGCAGTTAACTCAAAACAACCAAACCAGATGTATAAGCCCTGTAGCCTGGTAGCTCAAATGCTTCCCTTGAGCTCCTTGCCCTGGTTTTGGTCAGCACAGCCACCTTATCTCTCTCTCTCCCCTCTTTGAAGCCTAGTGTATCCATTGCTGCCTTCTACTCTAGCGGTGTAGACGTGTCGTTAGGATTTTCAATGTTGTATATGGTAATGCTGTGTACGTTTAATAAAATTTCTAAAGCATGTTAAGGTCCCTCATAAAGAAAGGTGCTACATGTGATAAGAGTTTGTCTTTCTGCTATGAAAAAGAGAATGTTTCACTCTGAATTATTTTTACTGGCTAGATGAGTTTCATGAAATCTTCATACCACCTTCCTTTCAAATTAAATCCTGTAATAGGATTTAACTCTGCATGCTATTAGTTGATTGATTCCGTGAAGCCTTTACAATAGCAGAGGAATTCTTCCGTTTGCCTAGAAATTACTACCCTGAAATTTATAGCTAAAATTATATCGGGGATGCATTTATTCTCCATTTCCTTTTTGAATTGTACTGGAAGCCTTGCAGAAATACACACATACAACTATATAGAATTTTCAGATTACCCAAACAATTATTTTTTGAATATCTTATGGTGCTGCAATTTTGTTTCCCTCTATCATATAATTCTTAATGCTCATTGCAGCTAATTCTCCCATGCTTAGTAGGTTAAATAATTGGCCAGTGCTTGATCACAGGGTTTTTCTTTCAGTGAGTATTTTGCTTCCTCAACTGACATGTGTTGGCTTATATTTTGCAATATCGTTAGTAATAGTGGTAACAGTCTGTAGTCCCTACACTGCACTCAGTGCCTGGTGAAAATCTGACCTGCAGGTTGTGATGGGTTTGGTCATAGAGACCGCCTTGGAACTGTCACCCGATGTGCTGAAACTACCTCTGAGCCAGTCTTCCCTGCCAACTTGGGTCTCCAGAACCCTGTCTTGTTGAGCCAGACACACAAGACTGCTGCAACACAGACCCAGGGTCTGAACCACACCCCCAAAGTTGAAAACTTAACTGAAAACAGCTCAGTAAGTACTCCTGTCTCCAGCACCCAGACACCCAGCTCCCAATGGGATCCAAACCCCAAATAAATCCTTTTTACTCTGTATAAAGCTTATACAGGGTAAACTCATAAATTTTGCCCTCTATAAAACTGATACAGAGAGATGCACAGCTGTTTGGTCCCCCAGGTATTAATCACTTACTCTGGTTTAATTCATAAATGAAAATTATTTTATTTAGTATAAAAAGTAGGATTTAAGTTGTTTCTAGTAATAACACACAGAACAAAGTAAGCTACCAAGCAAAATAAAACAAATCACGCAAGTCTAAGCCTAATCCATTAAGAAACTGAATACAGGTGAATCTCACCCTCAGAGATGTTCCAATAAGCTTCTTTCACAGACTAGACTCCTTCCTAGTCTGGGCCTGATCCTTTCCCCTGGTACAGACCTTGTTCGTTCCAGCAGGAATCTTAGGTGAAAAGCAGGGGATTTCACATGACTGGGAGCCCCCTTGGTTCTGTTCCACCCCCTTTCATAGCTTTGGCACAAGGTGGGAATCTTTTGTCTCTCTGGGCCCCCACCCCTCCTTCAAAATGGAAAAGCGCCAGGTGACATGATCACATGTCACTGTAAGACCTTATTCTCCATTCTTTCAGAGCTCGCCTGCAGGTACCCAGGAAAGTTTGCGAGTAAACAAAGCTATTCACAACCAATTGTCCCAGTTAATGGGAGCCATCAAGATTCCAAGCCACCATTAACGGCCCACACTTTCCATAGTTACAATAGGACTTCAGAATAATACTTCATATGTCTAGCTTCAGATACAAGAATGATACCTTGGTACAACTAGGATGAACACACTCAGTAGATTATAAGCTTTGTAATAATACCTTACAAAAGACCTTTTGCATACAGCATATTCCAGTTACTTTATATTTACACTCATATTTCCATAAAAACATATGGAGTGCAACGTCAGACAGGCATTGCTGCGTTTACTAATGTGTGTGCTAGTTAGAGCACCTCACATCAAATTTTACAACTAGATTTAGTTGAGATGTCCAGCTAGTGACACCGCAACCAAGAAAGAAGTGTTTAAATAGTGGTTCATTCCTATGGCTGGCCCTCGGTGTTTCGTTTTCTGGTCCCCTGCAAATGGATGAGCAAAAAGCAAAGTCAGAGCAAAGAGTAAAATTAAAGCCTCAGTTAAAGCACGCACACAACCTGATGTTGATTTGCATGTGCTGGAAATTGGCACCCAGGGCAACTGGCCTCCTCACCCGTCCCTCGGTGTACATTGCACTGCAGCTTGGTCCAAAGTTTGACTGGTGTATCTGTTTCCATTAGATGTGTGATGTTTTAGCAGAATAGTTACACTGGTAAAAGCGCTAATAGGGATGCAGTTATAGTGGTATAACTTATTCCCTTGCCCATACGAGATTTGCTCTCCTGCTGTAAGCACCTTTGTACAGACATAACTGAGTCCCGTAGTGCGGACTATCTATGATGATAGAGTTAAATTGGCACAACTTTCTAATATAGACAATCCCTTAGAGTCTGATCTAAGGGATGCCTATGGAATTCCAAGTTCCCTAATAAAACTATCAACTACCTGGTGCTCAAAATGACTGATCGGTGAATGTTTTCCACAGAGAATTCTCTTTCATGAACTTGGCTGTGTTATTTTAAGGCCCAGGACAGGAATGTGTGTGAGGGGAGGGAGCGGACTGCGTACATACCTTTGTGGAAAGCTAAAAGCTACTTTGGCTCCTCAATGTACGTTTTCTCTTGGATGATGTAGAACTGTGGTTCTCAACCAGGGGTATGTGTACCCTTCGGGGTATGCAGAGGTCTTCCAGGGGGTACATCAACTCATCTAGAGATTTGCCTAATTTTACAACAGGCTACATAAAAAGCACTAGCAAAGTCGGTACAAACTAAAATTTCTCAGACAGTAAATTGTTTATATTTCTCTGTATGCTATACACTGATATGTAAATAAAATATTTATATTCTAATTGACTGATTTTTACAGTTATAAGGTAAAAATGAGGAAGTCAGCAATTTTTCAGTAATAGTGTGCTATGACACTCTTGTATTTTTAGGTCTGATTTTGTAAGCCAGCAGTTAAGTGAGGTGAAACTTGGGTGTATGTAAGACCAAATCAGACTCCTGAAAGGGGTACAGTAGTCTGGTAAGGTTGAGAGCCACGAATGTAGAAAGTGAGTGTTCAGAGGTGGAACAGAAATGCCTTGTCATGACCACTAACAGTTCAAATCTTCACTGACAGGAAGTGCTGTGACTGAAAGATATGAACAAGACTGTGCAGCTGCTCACAAGAGGCGTGTCACACAAGGCTCTGACCAGGACGTCGGGGCTTTTAGCCCCCTTTATACCTCTCTGATTCCGGGCTCCTCAGGCTCTGAGGGCCTGTGCAGCCTCCTGTGTACGTTCAGTTAGAGCACTACGCGCCCACACAGGCCCCACCTGTTCCTGGAATAGTCACACCCCCGCATAACCCTCAGCAGCTTTCCCACTGCCGCTGCCAATGGGTTTCCCTGCAGCCAAGAATTCCCAAGCATGAAGTGTTCTGGCCACTTCTCTTCATGCCTTTGGCAGTTCCCTACACCAGGGGCTGCATGAGAGGCAGCTTTCAGGCTGCATATGCCAGGATATGCTTTCCCTGCACTGGAAGAATGCCTCTGGGGACCACACCACTCCCTTTGCAGTCCCTACACGCTGCAGCAGTGGTACAAAGCAGCCTGGAATCTGGCCTAATATGTCCAGCCTTATCCATTATATGCCAAGAGACAGATTCTGATTATGTTTATACTAGTTTAAAGCCAGTGATAACTCCAGTGAAATCTATGGAATAACCCTGTTGTTACACTCCTGAAGTTGAGATCACCATCTGACCCTAAGCAAGGAGGGTGAGCTCTATAATTAATAGCAGAATTCAGGGACTCCCAAGCTTTTGTTCATCAGATCATTCTGCTAGTTGGTGTCTGATCATGCTCCTAGGCATGGTAGAATGGAGATCAGGCATGTAGTTCAGAGAGGGGTTCTGTTTGTGTTGCACTTGCTTTCGTTTTTTCCCCTTAACATCTGCCTGGCCTGATCTGTTTTACTCAGCTTATCTCTGGGGGAGCATCTGGGCTGGGCAAAGGAGTTTCCAAGCAGGATAAAGCTTGTTGTCACAGATTCTTTCGTCGGAACAGACCCAGTGCTGCTATCCAAAGGTACAGCTGCCAGTTACGTATTTATCTTGGTGGAGCTCAGTAGATCTGTGTGTTCACTTCGCCATTTGAAAGGAAATGGAAAAGGGAGGAAGTAAAGAGGAACATAGGAAGGCTGTTTTAGACCACAGATATGCAAAGGGGAGGTGGTTGTGTCCTAAGGGAACAGAGCCAAGTGGAATCAAATGCTATAATCCTTCCCAATATGAGGGAAATACCCCACACTTCCCAATAGTGTTGAGTATCTGGCCGCCTTCTCATATTCTGTAATAGGGCTGATGAGCTTGACCCAGTAGCCTGCAGGAGCTTTAGGGCACCTTGGTGTTTTGGGATCCCGCAGGAGGAGAAGGTGGAGAGGAATACACGTTATTAGAAAATGAGGTTGGTTTTAGATCTGTTCAGAGCTCTCGTGGCTGAGCCCTGCTGGGTGTGCACAAAAGACCTGTGCACACCCACAATGTCACCTCCCAGGCTGGGACTGATATCACCCCCTGGTATTTGGGAGTCGATAGCTTACTAGAGTTTAAAGAATTAGCTCTTGGAACAATTACAAGGGTAATGCACCTAATGCATGTGGATTTTCTGCATTGTGCAGACTTGACAGCGGGCCCAACAGAGTAGGGTTGCCAACTGTCTAATGGCACAAATGCAAACACCCTTGCCCTGCCCCTTCCCCGAGGCCCTGCCCCCTGCTCACTCTAGCCCCCCTCCCTCCCTCCCTCCCTCCCTCCCTCCATCGCTCGCTCGCTCTTCCCCACCCTCAGTCACTTTCACCGGGCTGGGGCAGGGGTTGAGATGTGGGAGGGGTTGTGGGCTTGGGGGGCGGGGTGAAGGGGTTCAGAGTGTAGGAGGTGGCTCCGGGCTGAGCCTGGGGCAGGGGTTGGGGTGCAGGCTCTGGGAGGGTGTTTGGGTGTGGGAGGGGGTGAGGGGTCAGGCTCTGGGAGGGAGTTTGGGTGCAGAGTATGGGCTCAGGGGTTGAGGTGTGGGAGGGAGGGAGTGGGGGCGGCGCTTACCTTGGGCAGCTCCCGAAAGCGACTGGGTACATCCGTCTGGCAGCGGCTCCTAGGCGCAGGGGGTTCAGGGAGCTCTGCATGCTGCCCCTGCCTGCAGGCAGCACCCCTGCAGCTCCCATTGGCCGCAGTTCCTGGTCAATGAGAGCTGTGGAGTCTGCGCTTGGGGTGGTGGCAGCGAGCAGAGACCCCTGTCCCCCGACCCACCAAGTGCTGCAGGGACAGTGCCGGCCACTTCTGAGAGCGGCTCGGAGCGAGGGCAGGCAGGAAGCCTGCCTTAGCCCCGCTGAGCTGCCAGACTGCTAATGCCCCAAATCTCCCGGTTTGGCTGCAGTAGCCTCCAGGAAATAGGGCCTGATTCCAGGAGACTCCCAGTGAAACCAGGAGGGTTGGCAACCCTACAACAGAGAGAAGTAATAGAGACCATGAAGGGATTCTCTCTACTAACTAGGGGTGCTGGGGATTCTGCTCCACCCCCTGGTTTGAAGTAGTTTCCATTGTATACAGAGTTTAGAGTTTGGTTGAATGGCTCACAGCACCCCCATTATAAACATTGTTCCAGCCCCTCTGCCACTAACGATTCAGGTTGACGGTTCTTTCACTGATGGGCTCCAGGGCTTCCTCACTGGCCTCTAGCTCCTGCCCAGTGCGGTGCCCCCAGAGTGGGAGATGACCTACAGCGGCCCGTGTGCTAGCTAAGGGGGCTCTTGCGGATCCTGACCCAGTGTTCTCCACGGCCTGGCTGCGGCTCCCAGGCTTTCCGAGTGCAGCATCTTGCTGCTGTAGTGGCATAGTGTAGGACTTAGGATATTTGTGGGGGTCTTTTTTGGCAGGCTGCCAACATTTTTTGGAACTGTGAGTGAGAAGGGAAATGGGGATTGATTTTTGATTTTTAAGTTGAATGGAATTGCCTGGGAGGGGACACAAAAAAGGCACATCTCTAACCTGAGCGCTTTCTGCCTGCTGAATTTCTAAATGTCTGTTGCAAACAATGGCGATGTTTGAGAAAATCTAACTTCACAAGACTCTGTTGTAAGGGAAGGACAGAGCCACCCTCCATACAGGGGTCACTACCAGCTCCCTCTGTGAGTTAGAAATCAAGGGAACAGGCTGTGAAACCGTAAACACATCATTTCCCCTTATTTCATAACTATTAGGTTACACCCTGTCTTACTAAATGTGCTTATCTTTTGCCGTCAGTTCACAGAAATGACCCCACCCTGAGTTCCATAGAAAGCACAAGTTTGGAATAAGGTGCTGTTTTGAGTTAAAACGTGAAACAGATCTGAGCTCTACTCCTGCAAGCTGTACTGTGTGAACAGACCCTGTAGTTGTGTGGAGCCTGCCTGAAATCAACAAAGATTCTGCAAAGGCTCAAGGGTCTGGCAGCACAGGGCCAATGCCTCTTTAGACAAGCACCTAACGCACATTTGTGTGGTATAAAATGTCCTGTTCTTTGCCATGCTTGCTTCAGAAGCTAGTTTTTCAGTGTGCAGCATCAAATCTACAATCTGTACAATCAACTAGCACTTCCTTATGAGAAGTACAGTAGGATTAAAAGTGTACTTCTCCAGAGCAAATTCTCCAGTGACATAGAGACTATGTGGTGACTATAGTGAAATTATTTCCATATTTTAGTCATTAAAAACTTTTTGAGATCTTAAAACAAGCTTTTAAAATTCATGAAATGATTATCTGTGTTACTGACGGGTGTTTATTGTAAAGGTGCATTTTTCTTGTAAGATTTAAAACATTTGTTTTCTCTTTTTTGGGCATCCACAGACTGCATTGAGTTTTGTTTAGCAATATGAACAAATCTTTCCACAGGTGAAGAAACTGTAGTTGAAGGATTTACAATGTCTTTGTTTGTTTATTTATTAAAAATAAAAGGAAAACTGAATAAAGACCAGGAGTACTTGTGGCACCTTAGAGAGTAACAAATTTATTTGAGCATAAGCTTTCGTGAGCTACAGCTACAGATGCACCCGATGAAGTGAGCTGTAGCTCACGAAAGGTTATGCTGAAATAAATTGATTAGTCTCTAAGGTGCCGCAAGTCCTCCTTTTCTTTTTGCTAATACAGACTACCACGGCTGCTACTCTGAAACCTGAATAAAGATCCTGACTCTGTTTTCATACTTGTTACTAGAAATTGTCTGGTTAACTATGTAAAAGTGAAGTTGAAATCTAGCTTTCTGCCCTGATCCAATCACTGGCTGCTCACAGAACAGAAGGAAGATTGCCTCTTTGCTCTTGTAGGTAAGCAACTTTACTAGGGTCCATGGATTTCCTAACCAGTATGAAAGGATGTAATCTGGATAAATATTCCTGTTTGGTCCATGTCCCACAGGATGTCAGAAGAACCCACTGAAAATGAGCTCAGATCCCTACTCTGGCTTCAGCTGCTGCTCTCCTACTCTCCCTACCACCTGTTACATTATGAACAGGAACGTTAAGAAGGTTGGCACTGTGAAAATAATGCTATTTTTTCTAAATAGGGAAAATACATGCACTCTATTGTGGCCAAGAGGTCAATAAACAGGCTATAATGATAAGTTTTTCCAAAGCTACCAGATATTTAACAGGTATCTTTAACTGAAAGGAAAATGTAAGAAGGGATAGGCAGTGAGCGCATAGAGGTTTTGAATCGCATTTCCTCATGATGACGATATTACCCCTTTGAGGTAGTTAAATAGTCGAAGTTTTAAACTTGACAACTTGCCATTGCAGGTAAGACCTTCACATCCAGGATCCTCAGAGGATGAGATGAGTGGGTGTGAGGAAGGAAGGTGGTTACATGGTTGAAGCATCAGCATAAGAGTCAGAAGTTGGGGGTTCTGTTTTCAGCTCTGCTTTTGGGTCTACCACAGATTCATTGCATTCTTTATTTGTATTAGTAGAGGGCCAAGGAGCCTTAGTCATGGAGCAGGACCTCAGTGTCCTAGGTGCTGTTTAAATACAGCTTCCAGTCTGTTGTTATGCATGAGCAGCCTTAAGAAATGCTGGATGTAACTCCTTAGTGCTTGACTTTGCAACCTAAATCAATTTTTACCCAATACAATTTCCTAGTACTTTTTAAACAGCTAACTAATTCTGTTATATACAACTGTACACACTACCACAGATGGCCACCACTTCATCTACAGAACTAACTCTATGAGCTGGCAGCAGGAGAAGGTTGTTATCCCGGAATAGCTCACCAGCCACTGGGTTCATATGCTGTTTTGGGTGGAGCTCAACCCAACTCCGCCTCTCGCCACCATCACCTTCCCCCATGGAATGGGGCTGAGCCTGCCTGGGTTGGTTCCCCCCAGCTTGAGGGATGTACTGGGGGAGGAGTGGGAGGTGGTCCTGTACTGACTTTGAGAGAGTGGTTGAATGGAGCTCAGCCTGCTGCTTTCCTTCCCTGCCCTGTGGCAGCTCCCAGACGTTCCCAATGCATGGGCTGAGTCTTAGAAGAGCCCTGTTCGATTATTGTGGCAGTCAAACATTTTCCTGGGCATGTTTCACTGACCTTTTTAATAGTTGGTAACTCAGCCAAAGTGCCATGATTCCTCTGCTCATATCCCATCAAGCAGCTGTTTGGTGAGTTAGCGCATGGAGTCAAAGAGCATAAAGAAGGCATAGCTGGGCACTGGGGGCCAGGCGCTTGTTAATGCATAGAGGCTAATGCACATGTGTGACCGAATGCACCCTGTATTCACACCCCACATGCTATTGTAATCATCTCTGCCTTGTTAGGTATCATTTGAAAACTCATAATTCACAGGTCAATATCATGGTAAAATGTGCGTGGCATTATATATAAAGTTATGAATTCCCCCCCTGCATGACATTGGTGGGGCATGTTCAAACTCCAAAACAATTAGGCAAAACAGGCGAAACAGGTTTTAAAGGGATGTGTGTTTACCTCAAATTTACATGTAAACAGAGTCCTCAGCCAATGAAAGGGGGAAGACAGAGGACAAGAGAGGTCTGCATTTCAGCAAACGGGGTGAGAAAAAACAGCATGGGACTTTTTTTACTAGGAGATTTTGCTGCCTGACTCGCACATAGAAGGAATTTGTACGAGAAAGTGCTCTCAAGAGCTTGCATTTCCAATGGGGAAATGAAATATAAAAGTGAGGGGCAAACACCCCAAGCCACTCCTCTCTCCCTGTCCATCTCCGTCTTTGTATGTGAGAAGACCAGAAGAAACAGCTGCTGGACTTGAGGGAGGTGTCCTGACAGGAAAAGTTCAGTCTGTAATGCTGATAGGATGGGGTAAGGACTTCACTTTTGAATCAAGTATAGTTTAAGTTAAGCACCAGGAAGATTTTTATCTTTATTTTTCATGTAACCATTTCTCACTTTCATGCGTCATTATTTGTACTTCCTTAAAATCTCTTTGTATTTAAATAAATCTGTTTTTATTCTTTTATTGAAACTAAGTTAAATTGTCTGGGTAACTCAATTTGAGGTGACAAATTATTGTGTATCGTTCCCTTAATGCAGGGGTGGGCTTTTGGACCGAGGGCCACATTGGGGAATAGAAATTGTACGGCAGGCCATGAAGGGTCACAAAATTGGGGTTGGGGTGCAAGATGGGGTGCAGGTTCCAGCTGGGGGTGAGGGCTCTGGGGTGGGGCTGGAGATGAGAGGTATGGGGTGAAGGAGTGTGCTCTGTGCTGGGATCGAGGGGTTTGGAGAGTGGGAAAGGGATCAGGGTTGGGGTGTGGGGAGAGGCTCAGGGGTGCAGGCTCCAAGCAGCACTTACTTGAAACGTCTCCCGGAAGCAGTGGCATGTCCCTCTCTGGCTCCGACATGGAAGCACGGCCAGGTGCTTGTGCACACTGCCCCATTAGCAGGTGCCGCCCCTACAGCTCCCATTGGAGCCCCAGAGAGGGCCATTGGAGCCTGGAGGAGCCAGAGCGGGGCCATGCCATGGCTTCTGGGAGCCACGTGGTGCGGCCCCCAACCTACCACCCCAGCTTGAGCACTGGAGCAGCCCCCC